TGAGTCTAACTTTGACAGCATGGTAGCTGTTATAAAGGCTATCTGGCTCCTCCCCTCCGTGTTCTGACCCAGGCTCCCTCAGGTCACCCCCGGTACTATCAGTCCTTGAGAGCTACCATTGAACCCATCAGTGAGGGAGACAGGTTTGGGATGATATTCCTCCCTACCTATGGGGTGGGACGGCTAGCCCAACTCTACAGGAGACTGTCTACATTTCTCACCCAGTTTGCCAATGATACCCTGGCCATAGAAAAAGGCATAAGCTCTGAGCTTTACCAACTCCGGTTATTATCCCTGCAAAACTGCTAGGCCCTAGATTATGTGTTAGCCTCACGAGGCAGGGTCTGTGCCCTTATTGGAGAAGAATGTTGTACCTATGTCCCAGAGTTTTCACAGGATATTAACAAACACATCTTGTCAGCTGAACAGGCCTTGAACCAGTGAAAGGCCCAGGAAGGGGAACCCACTATTTTCGATTCCCTTTGGGGTTGGCTACCTGGTCTAGGGGGAGGCATTGTTCGCCTCCTGCTCACAGGTGTTTTGATATGTTTTGTTCTTTTTCTTTTTCTTTTGCTCGCTTGCTGTAAAGTGCTCATACATAAGATTTGTACCTCCCATTCCCCAGAAGTTCCTTTATACCCTCTCATTGATGATCCCAATTGCATGGAGCTCAATCGCATTTTGTCTTTAGAGTATGAGAAAACTCTGCCAAAGGTTTGTTGAGTGTTCTCAAAGGAGGGAATTGTTGGTGTCACTAGGCACAGCTACCAGGTAACTCGGGGGGGTGGAAGGCAATAAGTGTCGATGAAACCCCCCTGCTCTGGGTCTAAGTGAGCCAAAGTAACTCCATCTTGTGAACTTTGTCATAGAAATTTCTGTCCGTTCCAGCTGAGGAATAAGGAGAGACGGACACAGCTAGCCAAGCAAGGAGCCCCGGGAGGAGCGATCCGTTTATTTCAATTGCAATTGGGTTCGAGCTCATAAGTCAGCAAGAACAAAGAAAACACTTACACCAAAGCATTATATGCAGTTGCTTATGATAATCTATCGCTCTATGATTGGCCAAAATTTGCCATCATTACCGTACATAATTAGCAAGCTACATGTATCTGCCCCTCTTATGACCCCTTATTGTTCATTTACTTGCCCCCCCACCCTTGTTATTTTGCAAACTAAGTAGTCAGTTATCTATAGGATACAGGCACAGGGAGTTCCATCGTCTATAGGTTTGGAGTTTGGCTACATTTCCTCTCGAAGGAACTTCCTGAGTTAAGACAACCTATAGCTGACCCCGTGTGTACGTGACAAATTTGCCCCCTGGCCATTAAGTAGAATAATTCTATATCAACTTTAACACCGTGGGGGGGCGTTGGCAGCGGGGATGGACAC